TCAATGAGAAGGATATGGTAGTTCAGCACTTCCTTGTCTTCGGGGTCACCTGCACTAGCACCCACTCCGGTCGGTGCCTCTTTGGCAATAAACTTCAGAGACTCCCACATAGCTCGGTTGATCCGATCATAAGCCTCATTGACGCTGACCCGAATGTCAAAGAACTCCTGGTTCGGCTGAGAGAGCATATTCTCGACAGCCGCAGAGAAGTTGGGGAAGACGCGCATGAACGAGATGACCCCCTTCCGCTTGTTGACCTTGACCTTGGTGTCCTCGATTCCCCGGATTTGTTCGTCAACGAAACGATTAAACAGGCCATTCAGACGGGAATGCAGCTTCTGCAGGCAGCGGATAATGAACTCCTGGTTGGTGTCATCAAAGTCCGACATGGCCTTTTCCAGAGCAGACAGAATCCCAATTCCTTGCCTATGTACAAGTTAGCTTGCCTATCGTGGTAATTCTTATAGAATCCATGTGGCTTACAGAGGATCCGGTTGGATGGCCCAGTCCACAAGGTTCTGCATGTCCGTCGACCAGAACGAGTAGAGCTCGTCCATGATTTGCTCGACTTTTCTAGCCATCCCCCGGTCGGGATCATGCGGCTTCCTGGCGCTGAAATCAGGAAGTGGTCGCTCATCGGGGTTGCCGGAGGTCATGAAGTCGGAAAAGTCAATGTTGTTCAAGGAGCTCAAGTGGAAGAAATGAACAATAAAGTTCTGCTCTTCAGAGATCATCTTCAGCGTTTCTTGAAGTGTGCCGGCAAACACTTCGCAGGGCTCCAGTCTCCCATGCTGTTTCTCACCCGGGGTAAGCCGCAGACCCGCTGCGGCCCTGATCGTTTTGCCCCGTCGCACCGTCAACTTACGTGCTGCCATTGTAATGCCCTCGCTTTCCTTTTCTTTCTCCTGGTGGGTGAAGAGGAGCTCCTGTTCTTCCCCACTAGGTTTTCTGCCGGCCCTCTTCCACGCCAGGTTGTTGTCCCGGAATTCGTTCTGATAAGGCAGTTTGGCTTGTTGTTCGTAGAGATTGATCAGTCCATGCCAATCGGACCCGCTAACCTCTCGGGCAAAAAGCATCAAAGCGTTGTACATCCATAACTCTTGTCGGAAATACGCTCGAGCTTCGCTGTCCAGCTTGAGAGGATCCTTGGGGCCATTCGCTGCAGCATCGACCCTCTTCTGCTCGGCCACCTTATAGGCAATACCCATGAACTGACGGAGTCGTTGGAGGAACATTCGACACTGTGCTCGGTATTCCTCCTTTTTCTCTTTGATGGCGCGCATCTGTCCTATTTCCGTGTCGGCATACACCCCCACGCTCCCTTGCTCCCCAGCAGCATCAGCCAAACGTTTTTTGTTCTGCCATATATCGGGATCAATCATCAGCATGGCCTTATATAGCGTCGATAGAGCCGCCTCGGTCTCTCTCAAACCATCTGGATTGCTGAGCGACGACTCTTTGAGTGGCTGCAAGTCAACCACAGAGATAGAAAGCGTCTTCAAAAGATTTTGAAGCTCATTATGAAGCAGTTTCTGGTTGGCAGTCTGCACCTGCAAACCTTGAGATTGCGTCTCGATATACGACACATCTTCGTGCAATGTCTGTACAATATGATTAGAAGGGGAAGAAACAAGAGTCACGGCGAAGACTTACGTTGAGTTCATGCGAGTACAGAGTTAGTAGGCCGTCCAGCTCTTCGCACTCTTCAATAGTCTTGTCAATTAATTTTGCCAGTTGGTCTACCTTGCCTTCCTGTTGTTCGAGGTTACCAAGCCAGCTTGTGGCCTCGACGCGCCCGATCTCACGACGAATGTCTGCCTCGAGATCCTCGATCTTCTTGTCATCGCTCAAACGTCCATTCCAGCCAAGATCAGTCAGAATATCATCAAAGTCTGCACCCCGACCTTCCAGGATATTTGAGTCAATCCCCAGCGCCTGACAATACTTTATAGTGTTGTCTTCGCGACGCCTACGACGGCCATTCGGCGACGGAGAGACGGACCTTGCTCTTTCATCCGCGACGGTCTTGACTTCATCTCTGGCGGTATCTCTAGCTTCGTCCTGAGTTTCAACTGCAATCCTTGCAGTTTCAGCCGCTGGAGGCTGTGTAATCTCGACCGTGGGAGGCTCGAATGCGGTAGGAGCCACAGGAGAGGGAGCTTCTTTGATCGGAGACGGAAGGGCAGCGGGCGTCTCTTTCTCAGACGTGCCAGACGCAGTTGCAGGGGTGGGCTCAGTTGCAACCCGAAGCGAGGGTGCGGGGACGACGCCGGTGATCCCGTCCGGTTCATCTGACATACTTTGCTGTTTCTTCGCTGCGGCCAATAGTCTCTCACCAGCACCACCAGGTCGAGGTTTGAACGCGCCGTAGGCAGTGGCGGCTTTGCGAAACGCGCCCGCAATGTCTTTGCTTGGTTTCTTCTTGATCATCGGGCCCAGTCCCGGGCGGTGTGCATCTGACTCTTCTTCAACAGACTTGACAGATTCCGGAGAGCTGACCGGGGGTGGGCTTGGTAATCTCTCCCGTGGTGGTTCGCTCGCCTCAGCTGCGGGTAGAGGAGTCACGGGTGGTGCTGTTTCCAGAGGCGCAGCTGCCACGGCTGGTGCAGGAACATTGTTGCTTCTCGAAGAAGCTGGTCTCAGTGCGGGTGGTATGTCGGGAGAGCGCGTCTTGACGGGACCAGCTGGTTTATCAATGACCTGAGATTCTATCTGCGCCTCTGGAAGTGAGAGTGTTTCCCTGCTCTCGCCCAAAGACTTATTTGCTTCCATGCTGCCTGCCGGGTTCTGCATAACATCGGGGTTCTCGGCAGACATAGACACAGCTGTACTAGGACGAGCGTCCTTATCGCGTCCAATCTCGTGCAGACTCAAGCTTAAGTTCTCGGTCCGAGGCGCAGGTCTGGGTTCTAGCTCAGCCTTCCCGTCCTGTGATGGTCGAGGGTCTGGGCTAAGATTCGCTTGGCTGCTTGGTGTATGTGACACTGGCTTAGCAGCAGCCAGACTATCAGATACCTCTTTGGTTCTTGGTTCCGGCGGCAGTAGTACGGGTGCCTTGGGCAGACGTTCATTTGACCGCGGAGGAGGTTGATCTCGCGGGTCAGGGGGAAATGCTCCCGGCGGCTGGGGAGTTTGGCCCAACGGCGAAGGAGCAGCCACTCTTCCCGACTGGCTTGTGGACGGCCTTTGCATCTGATCTCGACTTCTTTGCGCTCGTAGAGCGTGCTCTTCAGAGGGCTGTCGTCTGAACTCACGGGAAATATCGCGCGGGCCATCGCGGCTGGGGGCGCGACCGGTGTATGGCGACTGAGGCCGGCTGCCCTGCGAAGAGGGGGAGCGAGAGGCAGGTCCTTGCCCCATGCCTCGCGAGCCCGGAGGAGCAGGAGAAGGGCTTCCAACGAGCAATTGCCTCTCGCGATCATCAAACCCAATGAGGTTCGGTACTTTTCCGCCGGTATATTTCCGATAGATCTTCACGAGACTGCCGATGAAAAAATCTTTTTCCTTGGAACTCCTAGCATGCCAGTAGTATGGTTTCCCAACAGTTACTACAAAGCCGACAGTAGCAGCCCATTGCTTATGTTGTTGTTCCAGTGGCGTTGACGGGACAAAGCCGGTATATGACTGAATCGAGGACAAATCGTCGAGCATCCATGTCTTCCCGATAGAAAATGTGCCATCGTTGTTCTCTCGAGCTTTATGCATGCGCACTCTTCCTGATCTCCTAACAGCGACGATAATAACTCGAGGCTTTTTGTTCTCAGGTGGTGAATTGGGAGGGGCGGGGGTGGACGGATGCGCGGCGTCTTCTATAATGCGAACATGGGTTATGTACGATTCAACCACTGTTGCCGTAGAGGTGGTCAGCCTGAATATCCAGAGTGCTGTTTGTAGGAGAAATTTCCTACGTCTCAGCGCCAGGTTGTCGCTCTTAGAGTTACAGGAAAGCAGCAGGCTGGTAATACCCCCCGAATTCCCTTCTCAATCGGCCGTAGTCTGCCCCAAAAAGCAAATCGGAGCGGAACATAAAGGAGCAAAGAAATATATACGTACAAGAGCCATCGCTGTCCTTCTTCGAGAAACAGCTTTGAATGATTCGTCTCTTTTCGTCTTCGAACTTCTCCGCCCGTGACATTGTTGCCTCGCCGGGCCCAGTGAAACCGCCATTGCGACCGTCGCCCATCCGGCGTGGCTCTCGATGCGGAGGAACGTCGCTGGGTGCAGGCACCCGAGACCGATCACGACTGCTCATGACTGGTTCTTTGCGCCTTCAGAACTTCGATCACTCGTTGGGTATGATTTGAGGATTAGACGAACATGGTCGGAGAATCAGGGGAGGGCAACTCGGAAATGACGCCCCCTATAGAAGGAAAAAAGAGCTCAAACTAGGGAGGAGGAGATGCTTGGGATGCGATACAGACCATTGAAGACAACCGAGGGACTTGGTCGCAAACGCAAGCTAGCTTGATGAGAGTGTGTCGAGTATACAGGCACGGAGGAGCAGAGCAGCGAATTAGCTCATCAGCCACTTGGGGTTGGGTCACTTGCGGACACTAGTCAGTTAAAGTGGGCGGAGAGCTGTTGCTCAAGTATGTTGGGTGGGTAATGACTATCTGGCGGTTTCCATTGAATCGAGAGGTCGAGATCGATCTATTATTTTTTTAAATGTTGATTCTTGCTCAAAGAATAAACGACTGTTCTCAGTCCCATTGTGTCATGGTCTTCTGCTGGACCTACAGAGGTACCTTGTTGTGATTTGGTAATCCATCCTCAGTAACTACGGAGTATACATCATGTCACGGGGAACCACGTGAGTTGGCATCGGGACTAGACCAGAAAAGGATAGCCAATGACCACTCTACCTTTGCTGACCGCATTGGTTGCCGTTTTTCTGCCCTATTTTTTTTAAACCTTTTTTTTCTCTGTGAAGACTAAAAACACCGGTTGGAGTTCTTTGTTGTCTCTTGCTCAAGGCGAAGCAAATTGAGGCTTTGGTCAAAATGGCGGCACAGAAAGTGAAGAAGGCGTCCTCAAAGGCGCCCGTTGAGAAGCCGAAGGTAACCAGTTATTGTTACTCGCAAGCATCTATACTGGCCCTGTGCACTGACGAGATTCTGATTCAATAGGCCAAAACTGCCGCTCCTCCACCTGAGTTAATTGCGTCGATTGCCGCTTTCTTGTCTCAATCTGGCTTCAAAAGTACAAGCGAGGCTCTTGCCAAGGAGCAGTCTAAGAAGTCGATCGCCAAGGCCGACTCGAAGGACGTCCCGTCACTGCTGGACATTTTCCAGAGCTGGCAGGACCGGAAGAGCGAGAGCAGCTCCGACAGCGACAGCAGCTCGAGCAGCAGTGAAGATGAGTCTAGTGACTCTGATGTTGAGATGAATGATGTGCCGAAAATGCAAGGGAAGCAATCTAGAGAATCCTCTCCTTCCTCGTCTTCCTCTTCCTCTTCCAGCTCTGACAGCGATGCCGATGACGAAGAGGATGACGATGCCGTCCCGGCGTCTGCTCCAGTGCCGAAGACCACCGGCACCAAGCGCAAGGCCGAATCGAGCTCATCTGAGTCGTCATCGGAATCCGAATCCGAAGACGAGGCTCCGAAGACCAAGAAGGCCAAGCTCTCTACTAAGTCAGACTCGTCCTCATCTTCATCCGACTCCTCCGACAGTGAGAGCAGCGCTTCATCTTCCGATTCTGACTCCGACTCCGAGTCCTCCGACAGTGAGAGCGGTTCTTCATCTGATTCCAGCTCCGACTCCGACTCCGACTCCGACTCCTCGTCTGAATCCGAGGAGGAACCCGCCAAGAAGGCTGCTAAGAAGGTCCTGAAGACTGCTGCCAAGACGCCCTTGCCTGATTCAAGCTCGAGCTCGTCCAGCGACTCTGATTCATCGTCCTCCGACGAGTCTTCCTCTGATGAGGATCAGAATAGCGGCAGCCGCAGCTCCTCGTCCTCGCAGAACTCCTCTAGCAGCAGCAAAACTGTCCAGCCCTCTGATTCCGATGCGAAGGAGCCCGTGAACGAGACTACAAAGCAGGTTCAAGAGACCAACTCTTCCAGCGCCAGCCCCGCTCCCGGAAATGACCCAGCTAAAAAGAAGAAGCACACTGGAGCTCGTCCCACACCTCTCGCTGTTCTTAGTGAACTGCCACATGACCACCCCTCGAACAATTACATCCCATATGCCTACGCCGAAAAGGCTTGGAAGGATCTGTCTGTAACTCGCGGCAAGGGCTTCACAAAAGAGAAGAACAAGAAGAAGCGTGGCTCCTACCGCGGCGGCCCCATTGACATCTCCGGAGGCAAGTCCTTCAAGTTTGAGGACTAGGGCATCTTCTATCCCGTCAAAAGCCGCCCATTTCCATCAGAGCAATAGAATCGTAGACGAGACTTCCGCGTTATTTCCATGTGCATTCGTGCCTTTTTGTTTCTCTTCCAAAAGTTTCTGTTCTAGACGAGACTAGACCGAGAAGTATTCTTGGGGATTCTGCCATACATTTCATGTTTCTTTAACAAGCAGGGCGCTAATGGAGCTGGAGAAAATTCTTATTTTATTTCTCTATTCTTTCTAGATTTTAGTGGCAATGTGCATTGTTCTTTTGAGAATCTTGCTTTTGGGAGTAGTCCTCTCTCATCTTCCACATAAAACCCTCCGCTCGTTCTTGGACCGAATGTAGATGGCCTGTTGAAACGGAGTCACGACACTCAAGTAACCTGATCTGACCGTCTCCAGGCACCCGGTGGTCCTAGCCGCTGCCATCTTCTGTCCCAGCCGGTATTCTTCTCATGTTCAATATCATCGGGTCCAATCTGCGCAAAGGGCTGCTGAGTCCTCAACTTGGACGCACTGGTTGAATCCCGACGTTCGTAGCCCGAAAGCTCTATGATCCGATCCGCTTGAGTGGCAGGACGAGTCAAATCTGAGCACAAGCCGAAATAATCTCGATACCATGTTTGGGAGGGGCCCGTCAAATCATCCGACGAGGCGAAGTCGAGCCGCATCACCCCGTCAACGATGCCGGTGTAAATGCTTGACGAGGAAGGTGACGGGGAGGACATGGTGTAGATTGGTCCGCGATATTGACGATCTACACGCGAGCGTGTTGCTTTCGAGTTCAATCGCACGGAGGGGGAGTGTGTAAGGAAGATTGAGAAATCTTTACGCGGATAGGTGACAGTGTCTTGGAACCCGTTGAGGTATGGAGTGGAGCCGTTCGAGGACCGCCGAAGGTCGTTTGGAGAAGGAATTTGTGCATCCTTATGACTGTAGGCGCTTTGCATGCGGAGGTCGTAGATCTTGACCACGGCGTCTCCGCCTGCCCCTGCTAGAAAACGATCCTGGCCGAATGGGTGTATACAATAAATAGGATTCGTATCGATTGTGTCTCGGTAGGTATACTCGAAAGGCTGGTGCGAGCGTAGATCGTGGAGTCTAGTTACGAAAGTTAGCAGACATGCAACCGACTACCCAGAAACATAAGGGAAATAAGTACCTAATGCAGCGGTCACCCCAGGCAGCAAGAAACACTTGTCCGGAGGATTCTCTGGTGAACTGAGCAGTGAGAGGTGCGATTGCGCTCACGTTAGCCTTTCGACGTAGGCCGATGCTTTCCCCGATATCCAAGGAGGTCACGCTGATCTGGCGGTTTACCGATAGTCGTTCTTTCGAAATCGTGCTGATAGTCAAGGAATCCTCCTGGCGACCCGTTCCATAGGCAATACACTCAGGCGACAGGAACTTGGAATACTTGTTACGTGCCGTGCCGTCTGGAGTGATCTTGCAATGCGCAAATGGCTCAACTTCTGCGTCTCCCGTTGTGGTCTGATAGAAGACTATGGATCCATTGTTCAAATGGGCCGCCAGAATAGGCTCCGCACCTTCACTCAACTCAGTCCGCTCAAGCCCATGGCCATTGGTCAAGAAACGTTGGTAGTATTTGTGAGACGCAGTGTCCGCCGAAATCTCAACATGACGTAGGTCGCCGTTCAGACGACCAAATATTATGTGCTCGTCGCCTGCCTTTCTGCTATGATGTTCTTGCTTGAGGAGATGTACGCCACAAATATCATGGTAGCTGCTGATCTTCGTCTCCACATCGTTAAAAATGAACCACTTCTCTCCGGCGCGATACGTGGGCTGCCGAATTCGTAAAACTAACTCATCCGCAGCGCCCCAGACGAGCACCTCCTTCCTTTCCGACCAGGAACCGCCCGGCCAAGATTCATATGAGTCAATCGAGGGACGGTACCCGTGCGTAGGGTTGTCCTGCCGGGTGCCCCGATGGGATCCAACCTTCACCGCATCGCGTGGAGGGAGGACGAAGCGACAAAGCAGTCCGAGTCTGTCCAATGCTCGAGCGCGCGCCGTGAGCGCCTGAGTTGCGTCCTTCCAAAAAGGAGGCGTCTCAACGAAGGGGAAACGATTCTTGAAATGTGCATGGAATACCCGCCAGTCTTCAGCAGCGATGACCTTGTGCAGGCGCTGACAGGTCTGAGCGAGGGCGGCCAATGAGCTGGCGGACGGGAGATATGTTGCTATCACATATATTATATCTGACGGTAAATCGGATAATAGCATTTCGAAGTGGATTTCAGCACAGTCTTTCTATTAAAACCAAGCAATAAATGTAGAGGACTTAAAGAATGAGCCTGATTCTTCAAAGAACTTTAGCATGTATTGCTTGTAGAGGATTTCAGGTTGTTTCAGATGTCAATAGAAAAACATACCTATGGTGTGTCTTCAAGAAAAAGGACTATATACTGTTCTAAAGTGTCTCATGCTTATGTTTCCATAGCGATCCAACCATTTTCTGTGGATTTGCATAGGGCTGTCAAGGCCCATCAGTCACCGCGGCGATAGCTTATGTTGAGGAGTCATGGCTTGACTCATGCAGCAACACTTATTATTTAGTAGAAATTCAGATAAACCATAGGCGAATATGAACATCAGTTGTTTTTATGAACGGCAAAGTGTTGTAGCTCTTCAATATTTGAATATTTAGAACCAAACCTGACGTAAGGGCCTGAGAAAATCACAGTGTGCCTCCTTATGTCATCATCGGTGCCTTTGTCCGCTAGTAATTCCTTATCGCCCTTATCAGTGTGCCTTATCTGCGTGTGCTCTCATGCGGGGTGTTGGAGTACTCCAACGGTTCAACCCGATGTTCGTATCGCATTTGAATCCAGTCATTTAGTATCTATTACTAAAAGTCTAAGACATCTTCATTGAGTCACATTGCCACTGTACCGATTAAATCTCTCTCCGGCGTTTAGGAAATCTGCTTCTGTGCCAGCAGAGTTCCTCATGCGGGGTTGCGTATATGGAATCCTCATAAGGTAGGTCCACCCTGTTATGGCAGTCCCTGCCGTCCGACTAGTTCTAAGGAGAAAGTCAACTGATAGACATATCTAGGCGTATAACTGTCTGCTGATAAGTTGGTGATGAACATGAACTTCTTTACTGCCATTCTGGTTTATGCGGCATATTGAGAAACCCAGTTAACCTGAGTTGGCTTGTTATTTCGGCCAAACCAGCGAAGATGGCGGTCTCTATATATACATCGCTATCAATTGTGGTTTTACTACTCTTTGTAGCATACAAAACAATTGTATATCCAGTCTTTCTATCACCGCTCTCAAAGATACCGAATGCACATTGGTCATCCCCGATCTCACCTGCTTGGATACTCTGGAAGCGTTTTAGAAGCCAGAACAATCGAACTATTCAAGCGGCTCATGAAAGACTTGGGCCCATTGTGCGATTGGGTCCCTCCGAAATCTCGATAAATTGCGTTGAGGGGGGTATCAAGACTGTGTATACTGGAGGCTTCGAGAAGCATGAGTGGTATCCTCGGGTCTTCGGATCGTTTGGGTAAGAGACCCCAGAAATAGCAAGGTGAAAGTTCTGACTGAAGCACGACACGTAGAACAGTCAGCATGTTCACCATGACCGGAAGCAAAGATCACTCGGTTCGCAAGAGGATGCTGTCCAACATCTACAGCAAGTCGTTTCTACAGTCGTCACCTCATATGCGTCTCATCTCAAGAACTATAGTACATGATCGTCTTCTCCCATTATTATACGAAGCAGCCACTTCAAGCTCACCTGTTGATGTTCATGACCTCAACCAGGGTTTGACAATGGACTTCGTATCCGCATATTTATACGGCGTCACGAATGGGACCAATTTCCTTCAGGACGAGCCTTATAGACAAAGGATGCTCCACTTATACCAAAGCAGGAAGCCCTTTGAGTTCTATTACCAGGAGGTCCCTAACATTCTTTCTTGGACAAAGTCTTTGGGTATCCGCTTGATACCAAGATATTGCGACCAGGCCAACGAAATCCTTGACTCTTGGGGGCTGGGACTGTGCGATAAAGCAGAGGAATCGCTGAAGTCGACCAGACTCGAAGATGAACCTGCCGTGTATAAACAACTCACGCAGATGATATCGAAGCATCTTCCTGCAAACAAAAATGACGTGGAGTACGCGCGGCTCCTCGAGCAGCAGCGGCTTGATATTGCCTGCGAGATGTACGACCACCTAACGGCGGGTCATGAAACCAGCGCTGTAGCTCTTACATATCTCCTTTGGGAACTCTCAAAGCGCCCTGTTTTACAGGACGCTCTTCGCGAGGAACTTTCTACCCTTGAACCAAGGATTATCTTCCCTCGACCGTCCGAATCTGCGGAGTTGCCTCCGGCAAAGTCAATTGACTCCTTGCCGCTGCTTGAAGCAATAGTCACGGAGACACTGCGCCTTCATGCTCCAATCCCAGGAATCCAACCTCGAGTCACCCCGTATCCGTCGTGTTCTCTGGTGGGATACAACAACATCCCTCCCAATACTAGGGTCAACGCGCAAGCTTATTCCCTCCACCGCAATCCAGAGGTGTTCCCAAACCCTGAGACTTGGGAACCTAAACGGTGGCTGAAAGACGCCAATACTCCTTCTGAGTTGGAAGAGAGAAGGCGATGGTTCTGGGCTTTCGGAAGTGGGGGAAGAATGTGTGTAGGCAGTAACTTGGCCTTGCAAGGTAAGGGACCACTTTCGTTACATAAATGTCTCAAGCTGATGTACTACAGAAATGAAATTAGTGGTAGCTGCTGTTTACACTAATTTCAAAACTTTGATCGTCAATGACGATAACATGGAAGCAATTGATGCATATACGGTGAAGCCAACAGGAGAGAAGCTGATCCTCAGATTTGTGCCAGTTGAATAGTTGACATGCGTCAAGTCGGATTTGCGAGCAAGATTGAATTTAGCCATGCTGTTCTAAATTCAACCTATAATCACATTTGCGTGCCAAACATCAAATTGAAACAATACAGCTTCATACATAGTAGCATGCCTTGTAAATCCGGCGAAAAATCAGCCACTGTAGATCATGGGGTGCTGGTGACAAACAAGATATATGAATTGACAGATTATTGTACAGATAACATATACAAACTCCCACATCCCCAGATATATAAGCACAGCTTTAAGTTGTCATTGCCGTAAATCGAACCCAAACTCCAATGATAGATATGTTTTGATTTTGCCCGTCAAGCACGACACAGTCCATAACCCGGGGCTCTCCAGAGCTTTGTAATTCTGTCAAGCCACTACCAACAAAATCGAGCCGGGGGCCGGGGGGTGCGCAATTGGCGCGATATTTGCGACAGGGACGTGTAGAATCATAATGCGTGGAACGAGTAGTTTATCCAAGGCGACCCTCCTTCTTCTGAGGCCCGACGACCTTGGGATACATTCTCATAAGATGGTAGTTGATGGTGTTCTTCTTGTTGCCCTTGGGTTTCTGCACGAGGAGATTTGTTGTTAGCATTGAACATCGAACACGATGGAGGACGAAGTAGAAATAGAATCTATGGTTAACGTACCGGTCCATCCATGCATTGTCTCAATTGTTGCTCCAAAGCTGCGCAGCCCTCCACAGAGCCTCCAGAAGATGCCCAGCAGCCTATCATGCGACAGTTAGATCTCGATTCGAGGTGCAGAGTTCAATTCGCGGACGATTGGCAAGGAAGGATCATGAAGCTGTATAGAAACCAAGACAATTGCAATAAGTAGATCAGGGACATACTCAGCATAGACGACATGATCGTCACACAGGGATTCTGCTCATGTTGATTCGGACGACGAACCCGCAGATGAGGGATGGTCTGCAGGCGGACGGGGTTGAGGCGAGTCGAGATGCCCTTGGGAGGCATTTTGACAGTCGAATAGAGACAATAATCACTCAGACTGTAGCACTCGAAGAGCTGAAAAGTAAGAGCTGCAGCGTAGTTTGAACCCTCAGCCAAGAGCCCTTCAACCTTGCAGCGTCAGGAAATTGTCGGGAAACTTTCGGAGGTGCCAAGACTTTCGGTGGCCGAGGCGGAATGGCTGACATAAACACTGCCAGAGGTAGGTTGGCGATAAGCCTGAAGAGCTTCTGCATTGCAGAAGATCTCAAGCTCTCTTCTCGAATTCTATTGAAAAGTTCGTTGCGGCTTTCAGATTCTTCATAGATATGAGCACGAGACATACAACTATAATGAAAAACACTACGTCATTATACCGACCCACGAGACACATTCACAGACCGTTCTCTACAGTGAGCCGGAGGCAAAATGTGGGCTCTCAGACGAACGCAAGCAGTGATGCTTCACATTCACAGGGTAACCCTGAAGAAAAAGGCGCCATGCAAAGAAGGTTATCCGAGATGACCGAACAAGCTATGCTAGAAGGAGGTCGGTCAGCGCGAAGAAACATAGAACAGGTGGGGTTCTCGGAAGATCTCAAGATGCGGCTACAGGAACGAATAGCGGCAACTGCGTTCAAAAACGAGCATCCTGCAGCTCATTCAATTGTCTACATGCCGGTACGTTGATACAAAGTGGCAGTTCATACTACAGGCTTTGGCTGATCAATTGAAGGAAAGTGCAGGTCAGGGTACTCGAGACATTGCTGGAGCTGCTCCCTGGACAGGGACGGAAAGCCTCCACGACGCCACCCTGCGCATGTTAGATAGTTCAAAGAAGCCGATGCGGGTCCCTTACAAGATTCCTCAGCCGGCTTCGGTTGATATGCGCATTAGCCCCAAACCCACGAAATCCCCGGGTCTCCGGATCGCCAATGCGAAAGAGCGCAGCGCCACCTATACCTTGAGTCAAAGCCCGGGGATATCGGGAGACGAGCGTGAAGCCATACGAAGGGAGATGGGCGAGAGATTCACCGCTGGTGCGCGGCCGATGCCGATGACCCTACAAGGATTGTCATCTCTTGCAAACGAACGGATAGAGGACGCGATTGCGCGTGGACAGTTCAACAATATCAAGCGAGGCAAAGGCGTAAACGTTGAGTCAGATCACAATGCAAATAGCGCGTTCATTGACACCACCGAATATTTCATGAACAAGATCATACAGAAGCAGGAGATTGTACCACCATGGATCGAGAAGCAACAGGAGCTAGCGAGGGAGGTTGATAGGTTCCGACAACGTTTGAGGGTTGAATGGAGACGACATGCAGCAAGGTTGATCGCTAGCGAGGGAGGGTCTTTAGAAGCTCAGATGAGACGTGCTCAGGCTTATGCGGCAGCTGAAGCTCGACTGGCGGAGAGAACCAAGATTGAGCAAGCGTTCCGGGGTATGGAAGGTACTGCGTCCTCTACAGCAGCGGATGAAACGACAAAGACTGAAACGACCTTAAACTCCAATGAGAATCAGCTACCGCACTTTTCGCCTCTACGTGATCCACAGTACCTCTCAACCGAGCGTTCGTATCATGAGCTTCAAATCAAGCACCTTAATGCCTTGACTCGGTCGTACAACCTTCAAGCGCCACCCGTCGCCCAAAAGCCGTATTTCAATCTGGAACGGGAGCTAAATAATTGCTATGCAGATGTCGCGCCAAGTTTGGCCGAGGAGATCAAACGCCGAGCTACGGAACGAGCCAGCACTCGTGTGCCGACAGCAAAGTCAAGCACCAATAAGGTGCTTAGTGCCTTCAATACTGCTCAGACTTCTCGTGTCTACGACGAAGACGCATCCAAAGGCTACGGATTCAAGGATCTCTGGCGTGACCTGTTCTCAAAAAAGAACGAAAGGTAAGCCAGGTGTACATATTGTCTGGGATATGATGTTCGTTATGAGTGAAATACGCCTTGGACTGGATCAATTCTGGCCAGAGTAATGAGTCATTAATGCTCAGTAATGTCTCTTTAAGAATACTGCCAAGGGTGAATGTGCTGCGCACACGTCTAGGAAACGCAGAAGAACAGACGCTTGCTCTCGATAATGATAACAAGCCACGTCACATGAGGGAATGTGGAAACCTCAAGGTCGCCGCTGTCTTTCGAGCCACGACACCAGAATTGCAGGAAGCTGTTTCTCTATGACCCCGTTTGACACGTTCTGGGATTCTTCCACCGTTGCACGACGGGCATCCCGCAAGTCAAGCCAGAGTAGGGTTACTGCCTTTACAGAGTAGAAAAGGCCAACACAACCCACAGCTATCCAGAGAATCTCTAAGATCTGAAACTTGGCGCTCTTAGGTGCAAAGACAAAACGAATGAGTGTCCAAACATGGAATTGCAAGATGGCAATGACCAAAGAGACTGCGAGCGCCATTGTTGCAATGCCAGCACGTGTGGCGAATGATCTCTTTTGCTCTCTGCGTCTTGCGATGTCTGCTTGCCAACCGTAGGATGCTGTATGCCTTCTGACGAAGATTGGCAGATAAATGGCCACCATAAAGAGGGATGATAGAACAGACACAGCGACAATCAAGCTGATCCGAGAAAGATGGAAAGGCGGGCCGCTGTCTGGCGCGGCTCTTTTCGACATTTGTTGATGCTCATCGTCACCTGGCGACAATGACTCGATGGCTGATAACGCTCTTCTTTTCAGAGGAATTATGAAGTTATGCCATGGAATTTTTGGCCAACCTCCAATGGGCCATGCAGCCTGTGCGAGATCGGAGTCTCCGAATGGGAGACGGGAGATGAGCTCTACATTGCCAACCCAGATCTCATTGATTCCATTCCCTTTTTCATAGTAGTGATCCGATTTGACACCGTGGATTGCGGAGACTTTGTTTCCCATAGTGGCAGGGGGCGAATGAGAGTGCGAGTCATAAGACATAAAGAAGTCAGTGACCAACTAACGCTCAAGAGGTCCTGTTGCCAATGAACGATCCGACTGATTCCATTACAAAAGAGGAGGCAAGTATATGTCTGCAACCAAGGAGATAGATCGCCACGAAGCACAATAACTAGGCAATACATCGCTGTTTCCTAATTGAGTAATTTATACAGTATCACCACAATTGTGGCCTCAGGCAAGAGCGGAAGCTTTGACCATGAATTATGACCTAGCCTGATATGGGTTAGCCGCTGTGACTCGGATGGCCGAACCTAACCAATCAACTTTCAAAGTTCTCTGGAGACAATTGTGGTCATTGGTTTGATGCCTAGGGCAAAATATTTAGATACAGGTGTGGTTGGGTACGTTCCTTCGAAATCCACGATAACCAGGCTCTACAATACTCCGGCCATCTTTTGAAACGTCGACTCTTCTGTCCCGTCTTTTCGGTGAAACTGGACTGACCGCCTGTAATTAGCATAGTCACGTTGCTCGATCATCACTAGGGAGTGTCTTCATGGCCAACGATAGGATGTGATGGCGTGCCTTGTGTGCATGCCGGCGCGTATTTGCACCAACCGCCGTCGTCGGTTGCGTCGTCTCAAGAGTGTCACAGTTTTCTTCAAACTTTCTACCAGTAGACTCTGCAGGTTCCGCAGTCTCTTCCTTCAGTCTTCACATTATCACATCCAATAAGTCGGCAATATATCCACCATCCCCCCTCTCATTCAAGGATGTGTGCCATTTTGTCTGTTTCCGTAAGGGATTTGCGGGCTCATTCGCAATCACTCGATATGTATACTGATCGTACTTAATTGCTTGTTTTCTGGCGGATACGAAAGATGATGCCCTTGTTGATGTTGCTCCTTTTCACTCTTTGTCATATTGTTACTGCTGGCTCAGTATCCCTTGGAGATCTGACCTTGAACCTCGACCTGGATCGTCGTGGTATTGCTTTGTCCGCGGAACCTCCCGTGGATCAGTCCCTACTGGCAATTCAGATAGGAGGCATTGTTGGAGCATACGTGATCTTCGTCGCCATACTTTTGACTCTGTTGCTCTTTGTGGGACGACGACTGCGAAGAGCGGTACAAGCATCGAACTACACTCTACAAGTTGAGATGATGAAACCTACCAAACAAGCCGTCAGCATGGATCCTAGTCCTATCACTCCAATCTCAGCTCGTCTTCCAAGTTCAACTGGACAAAACGGCTTCAGCAGATCCTGGGGCAGCTTGGCTAACGGTCCAAGATCCCACGTCTCCGGCAATGGCAGCGCTGCGACTATTGATGAATCCGTCGTTGCCATCGATCGGCGCAGGGCTCAAGAGGAAATGGAAATACTCTATGCGGCAGTCATGGAGCACGACGCACAGCGGGCGGCCGGGATAGATACCTCGAGGCAAGAATGGGAAGTTCAATCGCCAGACAGTGTGCACACCAATCCGTTCACAGATCGTTCCTCGCGGACATCAGAAAGGCCCTCGATCTCACAGATGAAGCCCCCCATGAGCCCAAAGAGCTCGCGGCTCTCGAAAATATCATCCCTGTCCTTGTTCAATTCAAACCCGCGTCCGCAGTCAAAGGTGGGCAAGCTTCGTTCCCCTCGGTTGCCTCTACGCAATATGTCCATATCCTCACCCGTGGGCTCTCCCGATTTAACGGCGCCGACCTCTTATGGCGAGGACCAAATGCCATTAACTCCTCGTCTCTACAACCCGGCTCCTCCGCCAGCACCCCCAATAACAATCAGTCAGGCGTCTAGTCAGGTGTCTCTAGGGAAGCCCCCTGGACGAGCTCCTGCCCCAGCTCCACTGAGCCTATCTACAGCGAGCCACGGCTCATCTTCCCTCCCATTCCGTGACGCATTTCCCTTGCAGAGTGCTCCTCCAACCAAGACGACGGTCATAGAACGTCCTTTAAAACCACTAAACGGTCCTCGGACGGGATTGCCGACACCTTACAGTCCGTATATGCCCTTCACCCCTGTTACTCCCCTCACACCCAGCCGTATCGTAACCAAGCGACAGCGGAAACGAGAGACTAGGGAGAACGGCTTGCGGGTCTTGAACGAGGATGATATAGTCAAGGATGATGGGGATATGTGGGGATACTGATCAAATTGTGTGGTTCAAGTCTTTATTTTGGGAGGGGGGGTATTTTTGCCAATATTTTGTGGCAGTTCCATATCCCATAGCGGACTGTCATGGGGATTAGATAGATATGCTTCACTGAGAGGGGACCTGGTGTTTTTCCTCTGGTTATCTGCGCGTTATCACATGGGAGGTAATCTGACTAAATGGAAGATGTTTTGTATTTGCATATTTGCACCATATGAATCGATATGAGGGGCAGCCAGCATCTGAGTGAGGATGGTATTTCACATGTAGTTGATGTAGGAGTATACATGCGTATGCACAAAATGACGAATAGTTCCAATATGTTGATGCTCATCATCGAACTTATGCAATAATTATGTATGAAAGGAAAGATGATCGAGTCTTCAATTATCATGTCACACTTACAGTAAACACAGGCATCCAGCCCCGCCCTATCTCCAAAGTCCGAGCTGAGCCAAGGCTTGACCTCCGTCATCAGTTCTGGATAACGCGAGAATCTCCGACCGGTTGCGGGCTTAACAGACTTTGGATCCCACCCAAATGCGGGTCACAGGATGGGCAAATCGCATCGCCCATCATGTACTGTCTTGCGTATCCTTTGCGCGATTATTTATTATGTGGGCGTACCAGACTACTTTGGTAGTCTATTTATTTATCGAAGCACGTCGAAAAGGTGGATGACTGTTGCTTTGCCTTAGTCAGGCTGACACTCACTTCGTATCACTCATATCTCTTCGTCCTCAATCGCGCTCTTGGTCTTCTTCAGGTGTTACTAGAATTTTCTCCTAGTCAGTCTGCTTGATCAACATCTCCTCCATATGCCGCTGACTATCCTCTCCCAAGCGCAGCTTCGCTCGCTGCTGCTGTCTCTGAACCGCGATGAGGTGTCCTCGCTACAACAAAGCCTTGCCCAGGCCCTACTAGAATACTCGACCGGAAGCCAGGAACAGGGTTGTGCCGCTACTTACCAACCTCTCAGAACCGCTATCACCCAGAAGAATGGCTGCACGACACTGTTCATGCCTGCCAGTACCGGCCGAACGATCGGCATGAAGATGATTTCTCTACAAGACGGAGGTGCTGCAGGGTGTGTGGTGGAAGGGGCTCTTGAAATTCCCGAGGGAACGAAGACTGCTTCAAGGTCGCGGTTGGCGGGCCCAAGGAGCTCCATGACGTCGCTGTCGTCTGAAATGAGTGACCTGTCTATATCGTCACAGGAAGAAGGATCGACGAGCTCGTCTAGCAGCCGATCTCTCAAGTCTGGCACTGTGAATCGACAATCAGTTGGCTCCAGCATCTCCAAGACGCTAGGTGCATGGCCCGGAGCTGGTACTCGAGACACCTCGCCGCAGGGCACTGTGACGTTGCTGGATGCCGACAGCATGCCCTTCGGACTGATCAATGCTCATGAACTCACGCCGTTCCGGACGGCCCTGGCCACGATGATGATTTTCAACAAGCGCAAGCGAGTGCGCACTGTGGTGGTCTTCGGGGCGGGTAAACAGGCTTACTGGCACATTCGGTTGGCTCTCACGCTGCGTGCGGCGGATATCAAGCGGGTCGTTATCGTCAATCGATCATTTGAACGGGCAGCAAGGCTTCTCAAGGATATCTACTCTCTTGAAAACTCCAGTTGGCGCGGTGATGTGAAGTTCTCCGCTGTCAGTACCGATTTCGGCGAGTACGACCGTATCATCCACGATGCTATCCATAAATCGGATGTAATTTTTTGCTGTACTCCGTCGATCGAGCCTCTTTTCCCCGCTGAACTTCTCACCTCCCGTGAAGGTCGCCGAAAGGGCCGATTCATCAGCGCCATTGGGTCCTACAATCCTCACATGACCGAGCTGCATCCAGACATTCTGCGCGAAGAGGTGAACGCGCATCATTCCGGTCGGCATTTCCACAAACACGTTAAACGTAGTGGTGTCGTTGTCGTCGACAGTCTCGAAGCTGCTCTGAAGGAGGCCGGAGAATTGATCCAGGCGGGCATCAAGCCGAATCAGGTTGTTGAGCTGGGAGAGCTCCTGATGGTACGGGACGCATCGCGAAGGGACAACAACAACCAGGACGGGGAAGACACCAAGGGCCTGCGCGAGTGGGTTGAACGAGGCAATGTCATCTACAAGAGCGTAGGCCTGGGCTTGATGGACCTGGTGACCGGAGGCGATCTCGTCCAGATGGCTCGGACGAGAAATGTGGGGACCAGCGTGGAGGACTTTTAGACGCTATGATTCTCAAGTGTCGAGTCTTTGCTGTATTTTACAGGACCAGTTTCTCTTTCTATACCCTTCAATCGATTTGACTTAATGGGCTGCAAGCATCTGTGAACCCCGCCACGTAGTATGACATCAAGGGAAGATCATAATCCCCTTTGAGATCGATAGTAGCACAACCAACGCAATATCCAATGCACATAGTAAGACCAAATAGATTCAATGACTCAGACGACACGGATTTCCTGTGTACCCCTCTTGAGACGGTGGAGATGTCCACAATCAACATCCTGTGGGTGATAAGATTGATAACGGGCGGGTCCCTTCGTCATTGATGAGCGGCAAGTCAAGAAAATCATCCCACTTCCACTGTGGGATTCCCGTCGGCTCGTATCCGCCCTCGTCTTCATATTCTATTTAATCTTTCTCATGTTTGCTTGATCCTCTGAGCCCTGCGACTTTTCGTCTTTCCCTCCTCCAAGCAATAGACTGTCCGCCCTCACCATGCGTAACACTACCTGCCGTTTGCCCAACGGCCAAAGCTACACGGTGACCCCTGTGTTTGGCGGCGTCAACTTCAAATCCAATGACATGCACTTGAAAGACTCGATAATTCCTCCCGGGT